CCCCCCCCCCCGACACCCAAACCCGTATACATCCAGAATCCCTGTTACGGGACTATGGAGAAATATGCAGATCACCATAAAATCTCACTGATTGACCTAAAGTTGGAAAGAGATATTTTTTGGGTGTTTTAATGGCTTTACATATCACTTTACATATCAACATGTTGAGTTTGTGTTTACCCAGTTGTCCCCATTAAATTAGGAAAAGTCATTCAATATTAAACCAAAAATATGATGTCTCATTTATTTAGAACATTTTGTGTTGTCCTGGGGTCAAAAATGACCCCAGGACAACACAAGGGTTAAATTTGGTTGTAAAGAGTTGATATGTAGTGAACGGGACATTTTACGCTGTTACCAAATTATCTCAAACACGTCGTTGACATTTCTGTTCTCGTATTTGTTGTTACCTATCGGCTGAAATATCGGACCAGTGGACAATGGATTTCTATCAGTCACTAGGGGTTGCGTCACATTGTATTTAATAGAATGCCTAGACACTTTGGAAAATGTTCCCGTTTGATGATGAGACAATAGATCGTTTTATTTGTGTGCTCAGTTCAGACGTAGCTTGTTTCGCTTAGCTTAGCACCGACATGGTTAGTCTAGCTCCATCAGAGGCACCTTGGAACAGCTGCTAAGATGGCGTATTTTCGTGTTGTTTGTGGTTATCCGAAGTCAGTACCTTTTTTATGGGGGAGTATCCGTTGCACAGAGTATAAAAAAACAACTCGAAAGCTGGTACAGGATTTTATTTAGCCGAGTTCTTGTTCAGCGGCTTGTGTTTCAACAATTCAGAACTGGCTTCTTTTGTTCGCCTTAATTAACAAAAGGTATTGAGGAAACTCGTGTTTTTATTTCTAAAAGGAAGGTATTAAAAAGTATTGTGTTGGTAAAAAGATTAATCGATTAGTTGTCAACTATTAACTTAATCGTTAACTATTTTGACAATCGATTAATTGGTTTCGGTCTTTTTTTTCAAAGAAACAAAAGTCAGAATTCTCATTCTTATTTCCTAAATGTGAATATTTCCTGGTTTCTGTAATCCTTTATGACGGTAAACTGTATGTCTTTGAGTTGAGGGCAAATCAAGACATTTGAGGACGTCGTCTTGGTAAACATTGATCGCCATATTTCACCACCTTAGCATTGGCCCTCGTTAGCCTGATCTGAGATAGAACTGTGCAGTGAAGGCTGTCTCTTTGCAACTTCCGAAAACATTGCCTATGTTCATGTGTCATGGTTGTACATCATCGTGCATCGTGGTTTAGATGCACAATGACATTCATTGCGAAAGCCCTGTGCTGCCTGGTGTTGAGTAACTTCCCTTTGGCACATCTTCATGCCACCACAAGTTGGATGATTGTAACGCATGAGTAAAATACCTTGAGCTTCCTGCTACGGGGACAGAGGTCTCTAACTGGTATTTGACCCCTCTTTGTGCCAGTTTTTGGATTTAACACAACAAAGGAAGTCATAAAATGTACGACAGTCGCTTCTTATCAACATGTCATGAGTGCTGTTCTCGGTCCAGAACGAAGTGGTTTGTCAGGATGTTGAGGAGATTTAGGAGAGTGATTAGGAGCCAACGTGAGAAGTGATTATTGTCAATAAATCATGGGCGGTATATGGAGTTGTTAAGCAAGTAGCGATGAACCTATTTACGCTGGTATCACTTAGTGAGCTGAAATATCAGGCTGTTCAAGGGAAGGCCATCATGTGGAATGCCATGTTTTCATTCCAGAGGGAGTCACGTGGTGATGATAAATATTATTGTCTGAATACAGAACAGTTTCGCAATAGACTTTCCAGAAATGTACTTTATCCTGATTTTTTTTTAAATTTTTTTTTTTTTTAAATTTTTTTTATTATATATATTTTTTTTTAAATGCCAGTGGTAGAAGGCCATATCCATATTGCCCAATCCTATTTCATACAGAGTTTATTGCTTGACTGGAAAATGTCCTGTCTCAGTTCATATTTTTGTCATAAATGTGTATGTGAAAAGCAAAACAACTCTTTCTGGATTTTTAACTCTTAATTATCAACATAACATAAAATTCCCAGTATTGGTTGGTCTAAGTGGTACCATAGGTTCAGACTTGCATAGAAATGGTTACCATCAGGCAGACTGTATGGGGGGGGGGGGCAGTATTGCACTGCTGAACACACTGTGAAACAAACGACTAGCCTCTGTGTTTGAGAATGATGAGTGGTGACTAGGTCTCTAGTAATGTTCACTTGTCCGGTTTGCTTTATGGCACATGATGAATTTGTGAAAGGACTAACAAACATCAATCTCTCTAAATCCAGAAAGACATTTACTGCCCCGAGCCATTCTGTTACTACTGGAAATGCGGTGACCATTTAGCCTATCAATACACAGGATGTGATGCAACACCCAATGGATTATACATGCTGCTGCTGTATTGATGGTAGTAAAACCCCGCCTGCAGCACTAGTGAGTTCCTGTCTTATCCAGATAGCTCGGTTAGCCTGCGTCTTGGAACAAGTTTGATCTCCAGATGTCACGGTCGAGATAATTGTGACATACAATTGTCATATCGTCCAATAAGCCTTAAAGGTCTCGGGCTTCAGGTCAGTTTGTATAGCTTGGTGCCTTGGGTCAAGTAAGGGTCTCTAATTGGGCAGTAGGGTTGAGTCGGGTCTAAAGACGTGGGTACGAGCTGGGTTCTGGATTGACGAGAGGTTCTCCACTGTGTCCCTTAACATTAGCAGGATGCTTCTCGTCCACGATCACTTCCTGCGGTCAGTTGCATAGT